CAAAAAAATATCATTAACCAAAAAACATTTGGATAAAAAGATTGAAGTGGTCAAAAGAATGTTATAGACAAGTGTATGGTTGCAAGAAAGAAATGCAACAGTAGAAATAGATTTACATGATTTATTTCAATAGGAATGGGTGGTTTTGGGACAGCTACCTTGTGGTATAGTTCATAGGCCAGCTGAAGATCTGGGTTGATCTCTCATAGTAGTTCTCGCTGGTTGGCGTGGCGCTACTGCTGCTGGCTGCTGCTGACCGCTCATCCTGACTGTGACAGGTCTCTTCCCAGACCTCCTGTTGACTGCCATTGTACTTCCATGTGACCCCTTTTATGGCGTTTTTTTATGGCTTAACAGGCTCGAAAAACGATGCAAGTATAATTAGGAGGGAAGCATTTTTATTGGTCGAAAAATAGAAACACTTTAAAATATTATTTTATTTTTTGACCGGAACTCGTAAGTTGGGAACATGCGTAAACGAAGATAATGGTCATTTTGTGACGGGGCCTTGTCCCGTTCACATCCGGCTCTTTATCTTGAGTATGTTAGTTTATTTGCCTGTAAATCAGCCGAGATATGTCTTATTTTATTTTATAACAAGAACATCTAACATGGGATGCTGGAAAGTAGTTTTTAGTGATGAATGCAAAATAGGGATGCATTTTAATGCAAGAGAATATGTAAGAAGACCAGTGGGAGAAAGAAACAGTGCAAGATATGCCACAAAATCTTCTACCAGACAACAAAGATGGTGAAATTTTTCAGCATGATAGTGCACCTTATCACACATCACATGCAGCAAAAAGGTTTCTTGTGGATGAAGATGTTAATTGAACCATTGTGGCAGGGGGCTGAAGAAACAAGTGCTCTAACAAAAACTATACAGTCTCCAAGAACTTTGGGATTATTGCCAAGAAGAATGGGAAAAAAATTCTCAATGAGAAAATCTGGACCTTGATCCAGTCAATGCCACATCAAACTGAGGCAATTTTTCCAACCAAAGTCACCAACACTAATTACTAACTCCATACTTTGACATTTTATACTTTCTGTAATAATAATAAAAAATAAAAATCAATTTTTAACTTAAGAAAATAGTTGAAAGATGAAATTATCACTGGTGACCCAGTATTTTTGCATGGCCTTTTTTTCAGCCTCACTATGCTTAAAATGCTCTATCATTCACCATACAGTATTAACAAAAATGCTGTAACTTATTTTCTGGCCCTCAAAGATCATAAAATGTACTGAGAAAAAGCATACTGCTAATCACTCTCAATTCTGTTGTAAAATTAACAAAAGTAATTAATTTTACCAAAGTGGCCCAAATGCTTAGCATGTCAGTTTATAGTAATGGAATAATATTTTCAACTTTAGTTAGTATATAGCTTATTAACATTTAATTTATAATTTATTTCATTATAAAATAAATTTTACTTATAAATAAAGTACACATTATTACTTATTCTATTAAAAATATTACCAATTTTAATTTAAAATATTTTCTCTATCCACAACCTCTAGTTATAGCTATTATATCTATTTTCCTATGTAAACAGTGCATATCTTATTAGTTTTCTTCCAGGACTTTTCCCACCCAACCCAATCTCCATGAGATAAATATTACTGGCATTATTTTGATGCACTAGTTAAGTAAATTAGCAATTCCATTGGGCATATCCCCTACATGAGTAAACCAGAATTTTTATCATCTTGACCATTAATTTGATTATGAGCAAGGAAGGATTCTGCTTTTTAAATCATTCAAAGTAAGAATATCTAAAGGAAACTAACATGTAACAAAAGAAATAAAAATCTACGTGTAGTTTGATCTTCCTTACTAACTAATCTGCTATGGTAACATGAGGTATGTCCACTTATTGGCATTTAGTAATGTTTTTTGTTACCATAACAACGCTATATCATTATGAAAGAGGGGAGATCTAGCTGAGTAACCAATAAGTTACATTGTTTTTATATATATATATATATATATATATATATATATATATATAATGAATGAATGAAAGGCTAAACATTTACATTGTGCTATTAAAAACCTACTCCTAACTATTATGATTATAAGAGTTTGTATTTAAAGATGCAACTAAAAATATCTGTAGTTTTGTTTTTCTTCATTCTTAGAGAAAATCAAATGAAACAACATTATGGTCATGACCAAAGTTCCAGCAAATATAAGTCACTTTATGAAAAATGCTTAAATAAGAACAATGAAAATTTTCTCTGAGTATTAACAACTGAGAAAAAAAGGTTTCCTGTTTCTACTAATTCAGGGCTATGATATCTAAAAGACAAAAAAGATTTGCATCTCATAAAAGTAACTCATTAAAAATGTTTTTGAGATGTATAAAAAAAAATTCAAATTTTCAAAATGTATGGAAGCATAATGGTTAACCGTTCAGAAAGAGAAAAATCAGCCAACCAGCCAAGTTCACTTTTGCACACATGCTCTCAGGAAAGATATGAATCCAACTTGCTTACATTGAAATTATTCTAATAAAACTGTAATGATTAGCCTATCCTGCTCTAAACACACCTACTACTGCATTACATGTGTTGCACCTACAACCCTAATGTGTTACAGGACTCAGGCATTCTGCAGTGTATAAATCCAATTTTTTTTAAGAAGTAGAATTTCAAAAATAAAAGTTGTTTTAGAGATTTCAGACTAATTAAAAAAAAAACAATGAAATTGAAAAGACTTAATTTCATATTTAACATGACAATGAAAATGCTGATGACATTTCACACTAAAAGTTTCATATAGTTCAAATCAACCACAACATTTTGTGAGCACAACATTGAAACCTTTAAATGATTGCCAGTCAAAGAAAAGCTGAAAATATATTCATCATAAGCTACTTATTATGAAAATGTGCATTTCATAAGACAGAGAATTATCAACCTGCTTCTAAGTAAAAATTATAAAATGCCATTTTATAACAGAATAATTTTGCTATAATGGACACAGCTTTCAACAAGATTTAGAAGGGGAAGGGAGAGTCTTGAAGATAACCCAAAGTCTGGATATCCTACAACTAACACCACCAAGGAAAAGATTGATCATGGTGATGGATGACAAGTGATTGATTATAAATCAAATAGCCAATTTTATTAACATATCTGGAAGAGATGAGAATATTCTGTAAAATAAACTTGGTATGACAAATATTTCTGCTTGGTGGATGTCACATGATACCTAATCAAAAAACATACCAAGTTTTGATCACATGATGGGAAAATCTGACATTGTTCAACATTTAAGGAATCCAACTTCAAACAAAAATGATGAATTCAACACTCATCCTTGTATTGGGTAAACTAACAGTAAAGAATAAATAAGATAAAAAACACATTTCAGAATCTTTTTAAAAACATATCTGAATAATTTAATTTTAAAAGATCAAAAATTATCAATTTTATGACTTTATAATAAACAATTTTAAAACTGTCAGAAAAATACAAATTTAATATGAAAATGTTAACATTAGCTCTCATAAATGCAAGAAAAAGTTTAACTCTCATAAATAAAAAAACACTTTGGTATTTTCATATATATTGTGTCTCATGCATAGTATTGTTTAATAATGGGGAAAAGCAAAAGACAAAATTATTGAAATAAAGTAAGTGGAATAACCACCAGAAAAGTATTTAAAAATTGTGTAAACAGTTTGATGCAATGAGAATTTACTCAACTGATTCAAAATCAATGTTGTACCTGAGTAAAAAAAAGCTTATTTCCTATTTATGTTTTATATCTAAAAACAGATTTCAACTTCTCATTATCTATTCACTAACTGCTAAAAAACAAGGAGAGTTTAAGCCTTAATGCTTGTTTCCCCATGCCATTTTCAGTTAGAAATCAATTCTCTTACAGATAATTTTGAATGAAATACTCATTTTCTAAAGAAACAACTAATAATGGTATTTTTCAGGAGTAATGCACATTTTATACAAATTCAAAGTATTTTTTAAAAACTTCAGATTTTTCAAAAGTTCAACTCTTCTTTCTGCACTTTGAAACAAACAATTATGCTTAGTCATAAGATAGGCAAAAAGTACAAGTAATAAATGAAGAGATATTTTCTTAAAACTATATAGTCGTCACTATAAAACCTATTTCACTATTTAATGAATAGAGTAGGTCTAAATGCAGAAAGGACATATTATATAACAGAACCATGGACAAATATTATAAATTAAAGTACACAAATAGCTAACACTCCAAAAACAAGTGGTTACCGGCTCATTTTGGAACACCTTTTTGAAATTGATAATTAACCAAACTTTAAATACTTACCTTGTATATGTAATTAAAACAAAAATTTAATATGCTCTTTCTCCCCACAAAAGTGTAGATATTTTAAAAATATTCTATTGGTTATCATTTATTAAATTAGGAGTATGAAAATAAAAACAAAAAACTAAGGATTATTTGGTTAAGTAAATGATTTTAGAAATTCAAACTTTTCAGTTAAAAAAAAAAAAATGGTGTGATCTAAAGAAATTCAAGTCTAAGAAGAACGTTACAAGTACATTTTAACTCCAAAACTTAATTTATATTTTCTTTGAAATTAAAATAATACTGTCACGTTCTGTAAAACATTAAATTGAAAATATTGTACATTCAATTAATTAACCTTTCCTTGTTGCCACAGAAAAAAAAAGAATTGTTAATATGTACTATACCTGTTCATTTGCTAGTGAATTTTTAACAAATATTTTCTTTTGATTTTTTTTTTATTTATTTGCTTACAAAAGAATCATTAAGTTTTTAAATGTTCTTTTCAGCTGTCATACGTATTTGACCTTTTATTTTTCAGTCACTTAAAGTCTAAAGAAATAATATTGGGTTCTTAGAAAATTTACTTAATAAATCAAATTTTTTGTCCAACCCAATATTTTAAAAGTTTGTAAATATTTATTGTAGTCTCAATTAACAAATCAAACTTTAATAATAAGCGTAGATAATACTTTACCTTGAATTCACAATTGTCTCCTGTAAAGCTTTCTGTACAGGTGCAATTATATCCATTAACCAAATCTGTACAGGTTCCATTATTTTGACAGTTTGGATGGATCTGGCACTCATCTATATTTTTTTGACACCTGCACAAAGTGAGCAAAGTAGACAATATGAGGAGAAGGCTGATGATGACAACAACATCAACACTACTACTACGACGGCGACCCGGACCAACAATGATCACAGGCCTAAACAAAAACGCACCCAGCGACATCAATTTTTTAACTACAGATTCAACGATAAGATTTTTGGAAATATAACATTTCAAATGGTGGAGACACACAAAAAGAAACTAGAATCATGGCGAATAAGAAGAATTCAATTGTTTTTTCAAGAGAACTTTAAAAACCCGTCCATACGAAATCGTGTCCGGTGCTCTAGTTTACGTTATGAAATGGGCACAGGTTGCTTATTGAATAACCGAGTTAAGTGACAACCCTAGTTTATTTGATAAGAGGAAAGGTGTGTGCGGTGTGGTGAGTAGGGCAGGTGTTGAACCAAGGACAGGTAAGCAATTGAGCAAGTGCTTAGTAGTCAAGGAAAAAAAAGAGACATTGACTGAATGAAAGCAACGAATAAGAAGAGAAATTGTGAAAGGCTGTAAAGAAAGAGCAAGGCGGGGGTGGAAAGATATAAAAGAAAAAAAATAAGTAAATAAATGGAAAAGAAAGAAAAAAAATGAAAATGAAATTCACGAAAATTTGGTAGTTTTTTTTGAGAGTACAGTTTTAAGTCCTCCCAGCCATTCGTTTTTACTTTTTTTTTACGGATATTTCAAAACGTACGAGAATACCACACTTTATTGCATTGTGAGCAAGTTGCCTAGCTTGTATTTTTATTTTATACAGAAAGACTAAAATAAATTTAAATAAAATACGTCTATAAACACGACAAAACAAACAGATACGGACAAAGTTTTATTAGTGACCAACATGAGACTGTTTTATTATAAAAAACTAAGTGTTGCATTAAAAACAAAGAGAGAAAAATGCTGAAAAAAAAAAAAGAAAAAAAAAGAGCAAAATAAATAAAAATAAAAAAATCACGCGAATCGGGCCTGGGGAGAAATAAAAATACTGTAGGCTTGTTAGAATAGAAAGGAAAAAATTGTTTGGGTGGGGAGTACAGATGAAAATGAACAACACAAAATAAAAAGGATCAAGAAAATTGGAGCAAGTAATCTCATAAGAAATTCATTTTAATAGTTACAGAAACGATAAAATGAAAAAAAAAATGCTGTTATTTGAATATGGTTGCTTTATTCAGAAACATCTTAAAAATTTAACATTCGATATAAAAAACACAATTGAGAATTTTCAAAAATAACATTTATTTTGAAAAAAAATTAATTATTATTAAGAAATTACTGAGTTTAATTGTTTGATAAGAGATAAAAGTTAATAATTTTTTTATTTAAGTTAAAATTGTCACCTTCACACACACATTTCTATCAAAAACAAGACCTGTTGAAATATATTTGTTGCTATTAAAACAGAATATCACTCCACTGGTCAGCAATATTTTCTATTTACATAATAGAATTTATTATTACATCAGTACCAGATCCCATTTATATTTCAATTTATATGAAAAAAAAAAAAAAAAATCATACTGAACAGTCAACACAAGCTCAAGACTAGAAGTATCTACAAAAGAGAAACACTTTTTTAATGCAAAAATAATTTTTAAGATGATTTTTTTTAAATTTATTTATGATCAAAGTTTAAAATTATTATGAAAAACTAAATTTCAATTATATGAAAGCTGAGAGTGAAACCCAGGTTCTTAGATTCCTGAAATCTTAACCTATCTTTAGTTATATTTTTAAATTTTACCCTTTTTAATTGTGACATTTACAAAAACCAATAAAGATAAATTATTGGTCAGCATAAACAACTGCTGTTGTTTGAATATTTGTCCAATGTAGCCATAATAAATATGACCAAGAAGGAAATTACTATAATTGTTGAATAAATAATTACAAAGTCTACAATTTGCAGTATTCTTTCTTTTAAATAACTAAATTTATTTTATTTATTTTGAATGAAGAACACACTTGTCAATGATTTCCCAAAATTTAAGAGATTAAATGCCTAATAGGAATTTTACTATTATTAACAACATTTAAGAAAAATAGTTATTTAACCCTTAGACTTTCACAGCTTCTTAGGCTAGATTATCACTACTGTTATTTATTCACAGGATTGGACACAATATAGACATCTGAGTAGGAAATGTAAATCTTCCTTTTAAAAGCGATACAGATTGACTGTCAATGCCACATTTACTATAAAATGTTATTTCATAATGACAATGTAAAGCCTTTAATTGCCCCACTCCATCTTTAAACAATTATATACATTAATCAATTGAAATTTCTGAGACACAATATGAGGGTTTATGGAATTTAACATTCACAAGAAATATTGAAGTGCAACAAGGGAGGAAACAGTGAGTAAACCTCTTAAGTTTGTGCAAATAGATACCAGAATAAAAGGGCAAAGAGGGATGGTAAAAAAAAAACTTAAAGCAACAGGAAGCTGTGGGGGAGCCATGGTTGCCTACACCCTGAAAGGATATGGCATATAAAGGAAATAAATCTTCCAAATGATCAGAAAACTAACACCAAAATTTCATTATCAGCCTAAAAAAATAAAACTGATTGACCACAAGAGAGATGTGTTAAATGACCCCAACATTATATATATCAGCATTAGGAAAACATTTGTTTCAAGAATTCAAAAACTATATTTTGAAAATAGTATTAAGATAGAGAAGTAAGAAAAGATTGCTTTTTAAAGCTTAAAAAAAAAAAAAAAAAAAAAAAATCGGAGACATTGTTTCTGTCACACAGCTACCATACCAAAACATTTACAGAAGGCCCCAAAACAACTATTTAGACAGTTTTATCACTGATTAAACATTGAAAATGTAATAGGGGCAATGCATTATGCATCTTAGCTCAAAAACAAATTCTTTATTCCAAAAGAGGATTGTTGCCATTATTCTTGGAACAAGTGGCAAAAGAAAACAACTGGGAAGAAAAAAATAACATTGTCAGGTCAACCAGAAGTTTCCATTTCAAGAGTAAGGAGTTGAATGATCAAAATCAGTTATTTACACATAGGCTACAAGTGGCACTTCCAGTAATGTTGAAAAGATTCAAAATATAATATAAATTATTAATCGACCACTGACAGCATTTCCATTGCATTTTCAAGGGACATTTTTGTGAACCAGCATCTGCTTAAGAGAAACTATAAATACAGACCATAAAGCAAACAAAGGTAGTTGGCAAATGGGTTACACATTGTCAAATCACCCAATTTACTATTCCACTGAAACATGTCATGCTTCTCTGATGTAAATTCCACAATGAATCCAAGGTTATGAACATTCCCCCTTTCCTGGGGTTCTATTAAATAGAATATGTGGTGACATACCAATGTGAGAGACAAATATTTTAAAAAGCAGCTGTGATATTTTACTTCTACAATCTCATTGATTATGGAGCAGAACACAGAAACACAACAGCAAATGGAAGCAGTAATAACACTAAACCTTCCTCCATTCAATGCAAACATCAATATTTGGTTCTTGCAACTGAAAGTGATCTTCAACACAAAGAAAATTACTTCCCAGTGACTGCAATACTGCTCTGTAGTTGAGAAACTACCCACAGAAATGGCTATAGAATTTACAGATCTATTCGAAACCTTACCACAACACCTGCTGTACAATATGCTAAGGCAAGCAATAATTAAACGAACTGGTAAGTCAGATGAAAGCAAGCTGCAGGAATTAACTAATAACATCGAGCAAGATGATAAAATGCTTCACGATTGCTACGTCATATAAGATCTTTACTGGGATCAAATATAATGCCTATATTGCAGCATATATGGATGAACAAATTACCTACAACCACTACACAGATTCTAGCACCTATGGCAAAAGATGATTATTTAAACTTGCTGATGTTGCTGATCACATACATGCAACAGAGAATAATTGTTCAATGTATTCTCTGAGTGACAACCAGCAAAAGGATCAAGAAATCCATGAACTTAAACAGGTGATATCCAAACTGACCAACCAAATGGAACAGTTGATTAGACATGGAACCAACAGGAACAGGATTATCTGTAGGCATAAACACAAAACAATGATACATTATGTTGCTATCATAAAATCTTAGATAATAAAAGCCCATAAATGTATGGGGCCCTTGCAGTTACCTGGGAAATGAATGTGACAGCCAATGAACACGACTCCATTGACTGGACAAATAACATCACAGAGTAATCGCATATATTATTTGCGTGACAAATCTACTAACCTAAACTTCCTTATAGGCACAGCCACACAGGTTAGTGTCTTTCCAGCTATGTCTAGTATTAAAAAACAAAATTCCTCAACTTCAGTGTATACACTACAGGCATCAAAGTGTTCTAGTATTGAGATATATAGTGAAAAAACACTTAGGTTAGATCTTGGTTTGAGGCAAGAGTGTATGAAGCCCTTGCAGTTACCTGGGAAATGAATGTGAAATACCTATTTCCCAGTTACCTGGGAAATAGGTATTTATAGTAGCAGACATTAAAATACCCATTATTGGTACCGACTTTCTCACTCGCTACAAGTTATCAGCGAATTTGGTGAAAAGGACCTTGTCAGATAAGACAAATTTAAGTTTTTGGCATTCACACTGCACACCTCACCATAGGAATTGGTGCTGCATTTCCCTTGGAAAATGAATTCACCCACATTCTTTGCCAATAACCAGACACAATCCATCCTTTATTACAATCTACAGTTGTCAAGCATATGACTACTCACCACATCCAGACAACCTACTCATGTGGCACCATGTTGACTGTAACTGGCTAAATACAAATTTCACAAAACAAGAGTTTCAGAACCTAATGGAATAGGGAATTATTATCCACCCTTCTAAAAGCTCTTGGGCATCTCCAATTCATTTGGTTCTGAAAGGAGATTTGGACTGGAAATTATTTGATTTCATATGGCTTAAATCTGTTATGACCCCTGATCACTATCCTTTACCTTTCATTAGCAATTT